CATCTTTCATACTTTTTCTCCACGTAATGCTGAAATTTTTATCACATATATCTAATTAAGATCTTTTATTTCTGGAAGTTTCAGCTCTCTAACTATAACTAATATCCATTTCAAAAAAAAAGAGCCCTGAGTATTTTTTTTGAATAACTTGAGAACAGAAACAGCTAACGAGTTGCGGTTTTTATCAGTCTAAAGAAGAGAGATTGGGACGTTATTGTCTCCGATATTGTATAAGAAGAAACTATTTTAAAATTCACTGTTTTTGTGAACCGTCGAAAAAGTGTACAAAAATAATCCGTCATTAAGATAAAATTTTCACAAAAAATCAGAAAATTTATTTAAAAACTAAGAAAAATTCATACTTTTTTAATGAGTAAATTGAAAATTTGACGTGCTTTATTTTAGAATGTGTGAAGATAATCATTCGAACTATATCTTAAACTATAGATCTGAAGTTCTTCTATCTCAATAACATATCAAAACCAAAATTTCATCCAAATGGTAACCCGTTTTCATACATGTTTTCCAATGTTTTGCAGATATAATTGATTTAAAAATGATGTCGTCTCATACAATATCAAAGAAAAAGATGTCCCAGCATTGCCTCTTTCGACTGGTGAAAATCGCAGCTCGCTCTCTGCTTCCATTCTCAAATTATTCAAAAAATGGCGAAGACCATTTTAATTTTGAACAGACAGTAAAGGCACTTTTTTGGAAAATGTTGAAATGTGTAGCTAAAAAGGAAATGGGCCTGGTTTGATTACATCGAGGAATACCTGTTGTAAGTTTATTTAGCGTTATAATTTTGACCGTTTTCCAAAAGTTCTGGTATCTGCTTTCTTTCAACCAAGAGTTGAAGTAACATACGAGACAACCAATATAGTAAGGGGGAGGCGTTTAATGATATTATTGGACACATTGTTGTGCCCAAAAGATTTCTTTCCTATCATCTTTTTAATGAGCAACGATATTTCTGTGCTTGATGTGGGTTCCACTTCAATCCCATTGTAAGTAGCTAGAAGGTTTTGTAGTTCCTTGTGTTCTCTTTCTACTTTGTAATCATGAAGGTTGAATATATCGATATCAGGAGCTTTAGCTAGTTCACTGAAATACTTGTAGAATTCGGTTGTTATCTGCTGTTCATCGGTTATAGTGCTTATGCCCACCTCAAGTTTAGAAAACGGAAGCGATTCCACTTTATATATTTTTGAGAGATGTGACCAGAATGAACTTTCTTGTTTATCATTACAATGTTTAATGGATAACAAAAATTCAGACTACCTTGCTGACTTATATTTATAGATCTCTTTTTGAACATCTCTTGACATAGTTCTTAGTAAAATTCTGAGGTCCTCATTTCTCACTCCTATACTCTTTCTTTCTCTATAGTATTTGTTTCTTACCTGTCTCATCTCACAAAGCTGTTGCAGGATATTTGAAGGAAGTGAAGGGCGGTATTTTTCTTTTTCCTTCCAACAGGTTAATCGACATTTTAAGGCTGCCAGAAATCTGATGTAGAGTTGATACCATAGATCATGTGATTGTATCGTCAGCTCTCTCTTCCAGTAATCTTCTAATAGTACTAGAATAGTCTGGTAGATATTCGAATCAGTGTGTGGAAAAAACCATTAGCTGTAAAGCCTATGCTCTGTGCTGCTACTACGGTTGGCCAGTGATCACTGGTACCAAATTTTATTGTTTCATTATATTTAAATCATATATGGAAATTTTATTTTTTACCTTCATAGATTAGATTATTATCAACGACTGTATCTTCACCAACATCTAAGTCAAAAGCAAATGTTGGATCATTTAAATGATAAAATTTATGTTTTTTTAGAGAAAATGAAAAAGAACTTTGATGCGACAGAACAAATAATTGGCTTTAACAATACGACGATATTGTTCATTAATAGCTGCTTGTTCACATTCTTCATCAGCATCTAAAAAATTTTGATCAACTCTTGCAGCTGTTTGTTCAGTTTTCGTATAAAAATGCAGCATATTTTTTACGTAATTCTTCATTATTTTGATGAATAGCTTCAGCTTCACGCTGTTCTTTACTTATGAATTTGAGCTGAAAAAAAAGAAGATACTGAACCTGACATGTGCTGTTTATGATTGTCACTGACGAAAAAGGACGATAGTTAATGAAGGAATTATCCGAACTGTAACTCACCGTTTGAATTTGTATATTGAGTTCACAAGAATGAATTTTCGATCTGCAACACTGACCATAGATAGATCTAATGATCCTTGGAATATATCTTGAAAGTTTTAGCTGAAAAGAATGTTCCTTTGACGAAAAATTCAGTTTTGTAACATATCTGTAACAGGCAACTATTTTTGTCAATAAGCTGAATCTCAGATCGAAATTTCAATATTTGATTTTCCCACAAGTACCTGAATGAGATTCACAAAGTATGATATATGTATTAGAAAGTTCCATTGCAAACACTAATACATTTTTGTATCAGTAGTGCTCAAAAGTCTGTAGAAGGCGTTGAGCCTTCCTACTTCCTTGACTTTGTCACTGAAAAATAATCGAAAGAATGAACTGAACGATTTTATAGTAACTACAACTGTTACTACATATTTTATTACATCATTAATTTTTTTTTCAGTATTGTTTTATGATATATCATTATAGTCATATCATAATTCATTGTGAAAGTACTGAAATATTTAAAAAATTCAATAGTAAAATTATTATGTCAATTACTGTGGAGATTATTTCTTGTTCTTTTTTATTTTATTCAAGCATTTCTTCTAAGTGAAAGTAATACATATTTTGTTGTACCTCATCGTTGTTGCTTCATTAACTGTTGATTCTTCTTCTTCAATATTATCATCGTTTTTTGCGACATTTTGAACTGAAAGAAAAAACTAACAAAAACAGAATTAATCAAATTACATACTTAGATGATTTTAATCATTAAAATGATGAGTGACAACGTTTCTATAAAATTAAGTATGAAATTTTCGTAACTGATTATTTGTTTTCATAAGATGTATATTATCATATATTTTTTCATTCGTATTACTCTCTTGTGTTAAAGGCTAAATATTATTTTCTATATTAGTCATCTAAAAAATAACTCACCACAAAACCGATAAATTTCTTGTCGAGCATCGAAACCCAAACGTTCTAATGTGATAGGAATATTAATAGATGAATCAAGCTATATAAATAAATCCATTAAATCACTTTCAATTTGTTTTATATCAAGTATGGATTGTAAAATTTCATTGTCATCTACAAATTAAAAATAAACTTCTAGAATTTCACCTGGAACACAAAACCTTGTTCATTTACACATCAAGATTATCATAATATAGAATTATAGTTGATTTGTAAAAGGAAATGACAAAAACAAAAGAACAAAGTTTAATAACAGGCACACAGAATAGAATTTAAGGAACAAATTTAAAAAAATTCAATTGCTATGCTTTGTGGGATACGAGTCATGTGAGAAGGAAAAAAATCTTGTGACTGTTGGAAAATCATTCATAAATCATTAAAACAGTTCGTCAATCATTAAGAACACGTACAATCGAACCAAGACCAGTAGATAATACATAAGTATAGTATCATGTATTGATTCAATATATATTTAATCAATCCTGTATATCGATACTATCAACATCCAATAGAAGATTCAAGCATTCTCTAAATACCTGTACTATAATAGTTATTCTCACCTTTTATTTGGTAATAGTGTCGAACTTGAAATTTGAGTTCAGTTATTAAACTATTATTCAAGTGTTCCGAGAGAAGATGTCCTGCGTATGTCTTTTTATGAAAAGTATAATATGTAAAATACAATTTTATTAAGTTTAAATTATTCAATGATTATTTTCTGAAAATGATTATAATTAAAGAATTATTTGGTTAGTTATAATCAAAAAAATGTAATACAAAAACAAAAAAAGGCTGACTAGGAAATCAATAAAACAGTGGAAGTGAATGTTGCCAGAGGTACCATTGTAAATAAAGGCAAGTGACGAATAGAAAGAATACGAACAGCAATGCAGAAATTTTATTGTTGTAGCTTGCATTATGTCAAAATAGAAATGTGATTGTGTTCATGTAATTTGTTACTTCTTTTTTAAATTTCGAATTGCTCACGAAACGTTCATGATCGACATGGTCGTCTGATAATAATCGATAATAAAAGAATGTATGAAGGATTGAATATTCACAATATTTTGTAATGTATTTTATTTAGTTCTAATTGAGCAGTATAAAATCTTAGGTACTTCACGAACATAAAATCGTATGTCAAATCATAGATTGTTTCGGTTCAAAAAAATCAACGTACGAATATATGATTTCAATAGCACTCAGCTCACAAGAAAAAAAGGAACAATCATCGAGTCTTCTTATGAATAAATGTCTTTGAATAATAATAAAAAACGTCTCTATTTAGAATTAAACTAGTGAAAGAAAGGCTGATTTTCTTTAACTAAATGTTAATTGATCGAAATTCATGACTATCATAAAACTGATTATTACATGAGTTTTGTGTACGAAAAGAAATATATCATTCTTTTTTTACAGAATAATTTACTGTGAAGAATATGAACTGTTTCACGAAAGAAATAATACATTCGCTACAAACTTATAAGACATACTCGTTGCATTCATATTTATTTGATTTAGAAAACTCAATAATTTTTTAAAATCATGGTACTAGTTGTAGCTCAGCGTGTATAGTCTCATTGAAAACTTTAAAAGCTTGAGAATGTTTAATTCTCTAATCATGACAGATAAAGATTCAAAAGATGATGATGAATTTCTTGAAATTATAAACACAGCATAAGATTCATTATGAAATTCTACATCCCCTTATTTAAATTTCAAAATTTTGAAAAGCAAATGAACAAGAAAATTCTTTCGTGAATTCAAGAATGTGATAATACAAAACAAAACCATTTTTCTGATAGAATATTTACATCAATATCTTTTAGATTTCAATTCTATTTTTGAAGATGTGTAAACAAATTTGGCATAACCAAATGCGAGTTTTGAAAAATTTGATTTCACGTAAACATTATCACCTGGCTAGCTCCAACTCTTTTTCTTGTAAATCGTAACACAAATATTTACATGGATTTATGTCAAATTTTATCGAGAAAAGGCTTAAATCAATCGATAATATCTAAGAAAAAAACATAAA